TCTTACTACTTAATGCGTTATTGCTCTAAAATAAAGGCAGAATTTATTCTTACTATTAATACTATATAATCTAAATAATTCTAAAGCTACTAAGCTGCTACTACTATATTTGATATTAATTACTATACTCTTAATTACTATATTAAAGGACTTACTTCTTATATAGAAACTATCTCTAACTACTAGAAACTTACTATAACTAAAGAGTAGATAATTATCTAATATATACTTAATCTTAATTTATAAAGATTTACGCTTTAGCTATATAAGATAGCAAATATAGCTAATAAGCTACTAGATATAAAGAGTAGTAAGCTTATTAGTAAGTACTAAGCTAAGCGCTTTATAATGCATTTATCTAAGCTTAAGATAGTCTTTAATTAAGTAAAGAATAAGTAGAGAATACTCTAAGAAGATCTAGAGATTATTAGCGCATAGTTTAAGCTTATAGAAGAGATTATAGCTAAGTATAGTATCTACTAGAATAATATATATAACTTTAATAAGACTAGCTTCTAGATAGGTATAATTAGCTCTATAAAGATTATTATAGGCATAGAGAGACGCGCTTAATCTAAGCTTATTTAGCTAAGTAATTATAAGTAAGTTATAATAATCTAGAGTATCTGCGCTGCTAAGTATATAACTCTGCTTTTTATTATCTATAAAAGATATATCTATATCTTAGCATAGTATAAAGAAGCTTTAATACTGTATAATTAGAAGCTATTAGTCTCTAAGAATAGCTAGATAAATAATATGCTTAGTCTAGAGTAGTTAAAGTATTTTAATATATATATAAAGGCGTATTAGATAAAAGCATACTAGCTACTTATTCTAGATAGCTATAAGAGCTACCTTAACTAGAATTTTAAGAACTATTATATTAAGAATAAGATTCTAACTCTTTGCATACTAGCTTATTTATTATATATTCTTTAGCTACTTAATATAGTTTATTTTTTACTATTAAAGCATAAGTACTTTTAATATATCTAGAACTTAGCATAGAAATATATCTTCTATATTAATAAGAAGAGCTTTCTTCTTATCTTTAAAGATATATTTTTTAATATATTTATAGAAGAGAACTATTAAAAGGCCTTTAAAGCTTTAGAACTTATTTCTATTAATATATAGATAGTATTAGATTATCTTAAAGTGCGCCTATATACTCTACTAGAACTTCTTCTCTTAGTAACTCTATAGCAATTAAAGACTCTAAGTAATACTTATAAGTTTAGATCTTAGTTAAAGCTTATACGCAATTTCTTACTCTAGTTACTTATTTTAGCCTAGACTAGCTTCTCTTAGCTTATAAAAGGTAGTAAGCTAATACTATATAAAAATATCTTTTAATATACCTAGATTTATAAGCTTAAAAAGCAATTAGTAGAGATAACTAAGCAGAAATTATATAAGCATAAGCAAATCTAGTAGAGTAGTATTATAGAGTATAGTAAAGTAGTAATATAAGTAGCTATAGAGGCATCTATAGCTACTAAGTAGTTAAAGAAGAGTTATAGTAGAAATAGTTAAGAAAGAGCTTAACTAGCTATATAGCGCTATAAAAACTATAGTAGAACTAAGTATAATATATAAATATATAAAAAGAATATAGAAGTATCTTCTAAATTAGATATAGGCATAATAGATATAGGCTCTCTTATAGATAGCAATAAAATTAAAGATGCATAACTAAAGTTTCTTATACTAAGAAATTTTAGATTACTTAGTAAGGTAAGTTACTTAGTAGTAGATTACGTTACTCTAGATTCTTTTTTAAATAGTATTAATATATAACTATAGTAAGTTCTCTAAGACTATTAATCTAATTACTAATAGTATAATAATATAGAGTACTACAGAAAACTATAAGGTTAGTTTATAAGAATACAAATATAGAAGAAGAGAATAGTATTATAAATCTATAAGAAGAGGCATAGCAGTCTTTATAAGATATAGAATGCTAACTAAGAAGAGTTAGCATAGAGATTAGTATATAAGAATTAATTAATAACACTACTCTATAAGGTCAGTAGTGAATTCTATAGTCTTAGTAGAAAGTAACTATAGAATAGTTATATACGTTCTATAAAATTCTATAATATCTTATAATATCTTATGCATAGAATAATATAGAATAATATAGAATATATAAGATAATACTAGTATATAGATAAGACGCAGAACTCTTATAGTTTAGTATCTTTAACTTTATACTTTAAGTTACTTAATATATTATACTCTTTATAGAAGCTTACTCTTATTATCTTAGTATATCTTATCTCTATATCTAGTGCTACTTTACTCTATCTATAAAAACTAACTTAAGCTCTTTAATATTAGCTATCTAATTATTAGCTACTTAAAAAAGGTTTTAATAACTAGCTTCTATAGCTTCTTAATAAATACTACTTTATATATATACTACTTTATTTTTATCTAACTCTTAGCTATTTAGTTTACTAGTATTACTACCTACTTATTTACTACTCTCTTATTAATATAAGAATTATGTCTAAGAATATAATAACTTAGCAGCGTATATCTAAGCTAATATATCTTAATTATATTTATAGTTATAAAGTATATAACTACTTTGCTACTTTATAGTATAATATAGCTAATATTATATTATATAAGAAGATAGTTAGTAGTAAGAGACTTAAGTAATAACTTATAGAACTAATTCTATAATATTAATAGTATAGTAGTATAGTAATCTACTTATTAGGTATCTTTTAATATAGCTAGTAAGCTAATATATTTAAAGTAGCTTAAATAAGTAAGAGCTATATTATAATTATCTCTAAATATAAGTATTAATACTAATATAATATAATCTACTAAAGTTAAGATATTAGTAAGAATAGTAAAGAGCTTAAGATAAGCATATTTTAATAGTTCTCTTAGATTATAGAATATTAGAGAATAGTTATAATAATAATAATATAATATAATAAGATAGAAGACTATAAGACTTAGATATAGCTAATATAAAATTTATTTTTAACTTATATATAACTATATATACTGCTTTTCTATAGTTAAGTATACTATAAAAATTATACTTCTTAAGCCTAGCTTAGAGCAAAGTAGTTATTATTATGCCTAAGGTAATTTTTAAGAAGTTTAGATATTAGTTAGTAGTGCTTATACTAGCCTTACTTAAGACTATTAGCTAATACTAAATTATATATTTTTATACTTTTTTTATTACTTTTTTATGCTAATAGTAAAAAGTAATTACTATTCTCTTTTAGTCTAGCTTATTTTTTAATAATACTTCTAGTTTATATTTTGTATCTAGAATAAATAGAGAAAGGATATATATTTCTAGAAGAAAGTAGTCCGCTTTAGTGAGGTTAGACTGCTTAGTAGTGATTCACGTTAGTTCAATTTAAAGCTTTGAACAGATACTCTAGCGAAAGCACTCTATTCTCTTAAGAATCTGTAGTTCGCAACAGCTTCTGGAGTAACATCGAACGCAAGTGAGCCTACTAAGGGTTTTACAGAGGAAACATGTAAGTAACCTAGAATGAAAGGATCATATGTCGCTCATACGGAATCAACCTACTTTCTAGTCGTTGAAAGAGGTTCGCAAGGCCATGTACAAGCAGACGAAGGAAGATGGCTACATGGCCGCTGCTGAAGCTAAGAAAAGTGGAATAAAGTATAAGTTGGAGAACATGTACAGCGACAGGATAAAATGCCATGAAGCTCATTTTAAGAATAGAGAGACTCATCTGACGTCTGTCGCTCAGTAGTGCAGCGCAAAGTTCCTTGCCTACTTCTTCCCCTTCTTCCATGCGGTACTATCACTAGTCACATTAACCTTCTTCGCCAACTGCGCATCAAACTCCGTAACAACACCCTTTCTAACCGGCTTGCCGAGGTTGTCGCTCATCGGCCTGACAACATCGCACCTTAGCGCCTGCGCAGGGCTCATACGCTCCATCTTCGTATTGTTCGTCTGAATGAAGAGCCTCTCACGCGAGTCGGCACCAGTATACGGCTTCCACTCAACAGCACGGTTAGCGCGGTCAGTATTGGGGTCAAGGTTACGGATGAAGCTGGTCCAGTAGCTGCGCACATGCTTGATGATAGGCGCATTGGTGGTGAAGTAGCTGGGTGGTTCGCTGCCGTCGGTGCGGTTTACGCCCCAGAAAGCATATGCGTTGACGGTGTGCCAGGCGCCGTAGCCGACTGCCTCGTCGGCTGGGTCCTGCACAGCATACTTGTAGTTGTACGTGGGTACGTCGTCGCGCGCGATCGCGTTCTGGATGTTGCGGGTCGGGCAGTGGGTTCCGATGTCGCCAATGGCGTCAGCAGCGTGGCGCCAGTAGAGTCCCTTTCCGGGGAATGAAGGCTTCGCGGGCTTCATGTAGAGATCGTCGATGATCGAGATGGAAGAGTTGCTCAAGCTTGGGTCTTGATTGGCCACCCATTTGACTGCATCGGCTGTAGTGTTAAGATCTTCTGGCGCGTTGTACTTTGTGCCCTCTTGAGCGCAGGTGCCCATGATCGTCGGTACCTTTGCGTACTTACCCTGGTCGAAGAGGTTCACAAGCGAGTCGGTGTAGAGGTCGCCATCGATATTGGGGTTGAACCAGCAGTTGGAAGAACGGATAGCCGACTCGTTCAACGCACGTAGACAGGAGAGGCCGTCCGTCGCATTAGCGCACCCCTTATCTTCAAGCAAGCACTGGTATTGCTCCTCGCCCAGCGCTGGAGTGCGCATCGTAACCCAGCCACCCGACTCCATAATACCGCCAGCAAACAGCTTCTTGCCTGTGTTGGCCGCCATCATGAGCGCAACAGAGGATCCACCGGCACTGACTCCATCAAGAACAACGTGGTCTGGATCACCACCGAATTGGTCGATATGCTCCTTAACCCACTCGAGGAGCTTGATCTGGTCGCGAAGCCCAGCATTGACATCACCACCTCCTGCTTTGACCGCTTCACTACTGAGGAAACCGTACAAGCCCACGCGGTAGCTGAATTGAACAAAGACGACCTGGCCGTCTGCCACAATCTCAGTGGGATCCCAGTTCGCGCTAGACTGCGACGAGAAGCCACCTCCCTGGAAGAACACCACAACTGGCAGCTTCGAGTCGACGCGGGCCTTGGAAGGCGCATACACGCTCAGGTAAAGACAGTCTTCAGCAATGGTGAAGCGGTCGTTGGGTCCGGAAACAGTCCAGTCATCAGGACGGCTAGGTGGGCATGTTGCACCGTGTCTAGTGGCGTTGATGAGACCGGAGACGATAGGGTTTTGCGGCGCCGCGAACCGACGCTCGCCAGTAGGTGGTGCCCCGTACTGCATGCCTTTCCAAGCAGAGACACCAAGCTCTGAGTCGACGACGGTTCCCTGATACTTTGCATAGCCAACATCGACGAGAGTATTGACGGCGTGCGCTACCCAAGAGAAGCCCGCTCCGGCGACGAGTAATTGTTGAAAATGCTTCATCTTCAAGGTGAATAATGACCAGACAGAAATGAATGTGAATGAGCTGTGCTCTAAGAAAGAATGGATACGTGCGCAAAGACACGAAAGCTGAAGAAAACGGATGTGGAAACGATTGACTTTTACATCGATTTTCCCCTACCTATAGTGGCCATATAAACCTGCCCCTCCGGATCGTTCATGGAAGCGTTCGAAACATATTAAGCCCGTTGTAGCTGGGTTATCATATACATGTTGCGTTCGGTCCGCACGCTGAATGAACGTGGAAATTGTGCTTTAATGTTTCTGCGTTGTTCAAAGTCGGGCCGTTGAGCAGTACGGCGATTCAGCTGTTTCACGGTGGCATTGCAGGGCGGATAGGGCCCAATCTAACTTGAAGCGGGAAGAGGCCATGACTCTCAGGGTCTTTGCCTGACGACCATCTTGTTCGTCCGCAAATCACGGCCTCCGCTCCGTTAGAAGGCGATTCGAGATGGAGTGTTGATGCGAAGGAGGGAACGCGCGGGGGAGGTTGACATACAAGAGGGATGCATGAATCGATAAGTAGTGGGTCCTGGTGCACAGACGAATTTTGTATGGAGATTGGTCGTTTATGGTAGAAGATTCGCCGCCTACTACCCATCGATTTATGCATCCCTCTTGTAACGTGTTCTACTAGGAGGTAGGCTACCTTACTAAAACGCGTGCAACGCGTCTTATCTTATCTACTATAACTCTCTTATAATACTCTTAAGCCTCTAAAAAAGAAGGCAGGTATCTTCTTGCTACTTAAGCGCTTTAATCTAAAAAAATTAGAGCTAATATAAAGCTGCTTAGCTTTATAAGATACTTTATATAACTCTTTAATAACGTCTTTAAGATATCTTCTTTCTATATAAAATAATGCATATTAATTAAAAGCTATACTCTATTAAAGAATAGTCTCTTATTTAGTAGATCTTAGATCTTAATTAATAAAGCTTTTCTTCTTAGAGTATTAATATATAATAAATAGTAGATACTCTGCTAGCTAACTATAGCTAGAATTCTCTATCTCTACTTATAAGTAAGAACTAAGTATTATACTTTATTAGTAGCTAGCTAAAGCTTAAGATAAAGTAGAACTAGAAAATTCTACTTATAAAAAGGTTAAGATATAACGTAGTTTATAAGCAAGCACTATATCTAAGTAAGTACTATAGTCTCTCTACTAAAATAACTATATAGTAATATAGCATAATACTATAATAAATTTATATACTATATATAATAATATATTATTCTTTAGAATTATTACTATAAGAGGCAGAACTCTAGAAGTTCTGCTAGCTATCTTTTATACTTTACTTTAGAAGATATAATATTCTAGCGCTTATAAAATAAGTAAAGTTCTAAAGGCCTAAGCTTCTAAGCTTAAAGTTCTAAATAGAGCGCAGCTTATTATATAAGCTTCTCTTTCTAATATTTAGTATATTCTATACTTACTTTAATAATATAATATATAATATGCGCTCTACTCTTTTAATATCTCTATAATCTTTATATAAGACTACTAATATAATATACTATTAAAATAGTTACACTATTAAAATAATTACCTAATATAGCTAGCTGCGCTGCAACCTTAATAACTTAATATTATAATAAGTAATTAGAATAAAAGATATATAGAATTACTTACTTAATTTAGCTGTATCTCTTCTATATATATGTATATTATAGCCTATATTGCTATATTCTTTATAGTGTTAAGTTAACCTTCTAGTAATATCTACCTACTATCTCTTCTTATGCCTTTATTTAGTAATCTCTACCTCTGCTTCTCTCTAAGTAATTAACTTCTCTGCCTCTGCTTATAATAGAGTCTCTTCTTCTTAAATATACTTTTTTTTATAACTTTTATATATAGAAGCAGCGTTATTAGCTGCCTCTAAGTTAGCAATTCTACTAGCTAAAAGCACTTAAGAATATACTATTATTTTAGCTCTTTTCTAGAACTACTCTATTATTTTAATAATTAATAATAGAGAGAAGTTAATACGCGTTTAAATCTAGCTCTAGATTAAAGTTAATTAAGCCTTTATCTCTTATATATTGCTTAGAGTCTTTAGCTACTAGAAAGTACTTAGAAGAAGTAGTATTAGCATATAAGGCTTTATATTAAGCTTTAATAGCACTGCTTCTAAGTTATCTAGTACTAAACTAGCTACTCTAAATCTAGATTTAATATTTTTAGATAAGAATATCTACTTATAGATCTTACTATAGGTATCTAGAAAGGCCTTTTTATTAATATAGTTAATATAACTATTTACTAAGACTCTAATCTTCTTCTTATAAGCATACTTTAAGATAGTAAAATAACTTATATTAAGTAGCTAAAGAAGATATAAAGTATAAGTAAGCATGCAGAGCGTAATAATCTTACTTTCTTTATACTATTTTTAGAAAGTAAGTAATTAGTAGCTCTTATAGCTATTAAGTATAAGTAGTTAGTAACTACTAACTATATACGCTTTAGTATGCTAAATAAAGTGCTCTAACTATGCTAAACTAATCTTATTTATAGTCTAACTATTCTTACTAATAGTAATTCTTTAGTTTTTATTCTTTTAGTAGTACTAAGCTTAGTTATAGTGCTTTGCTTTAAGTATAAAAAAGAGTAGTATAGACTACTCTATAGCATTAATGCTAGTAATTAAGATTACTTACTTATAATTACTAAGTTAGACTCTAAGTAGCTTTATACGCTTCTCTAATGCAGTAATAACTTTAATAGACTCTCTAATGCTTATTTAGAAGCCTATCTTATTAAAGTTATAAGTATCTTTATCTAGAATACTATACTTAGCTTTAATGTTGCGTATAAGGTTAAACTAGAGGCTTATAATCTTAAAATTGCTATAAAGAACTCTCTAGTAATTGCGTAGGCAGGTAACTTATAAGTTAAGATTAGATTACTAGCATATAAGCTAGTATACTTATTTAATACTAATCTTATCTCTGCTATGCGCAGTAAGTAGTTAGTTAGCTATATCTTATACATACTAAAGTATAGAAGTAAAACCTTGCTTATTAAGCTTTCTTATCTACTATATAAGAATCTTCTCTTCTAGCTTTTTTAGTACTAATTAGTTAGAGCAGAAATTACGTTATAAAGTCTAGCTAGCGCGTTAGTTACTAAGCGTACTTTAGTATATATTATAGATAGTTGCAGCGCACCTTTAGCTTAATAATATATTAGATTTTATAGCTTTAAGTGCTAAGATAATTCTATCCTTATAGAAAAGCAGCTTAAGATTAGTTAATTGCAGCATTAAGGTAAGTAGTAGAGAGAGAGATAGTCTTAGCAAAAGTAATTATTTTAATAGTGTAACTATTTTAATAGTAGATTACGTTATAATATCTTACTTAACTTACTTATCTTTTAAAGCTATCTTAACTTCTTTAGTAGCTTCTACTTATAAGTATTATTACTTTATTATATCTTCTACGCCTCTATTAGTAGTTATAGAGTATTCTAAAACTATAGCTCTCTTACTTACTAAGCGCTCTATAAGTACTACTAGCTTTAAGAATAAGCTTTTTATAAGTTTTATCTTCTTATATTTTTTCTTTTTTACTTTATTAACTTCTACTATAGAAGCTTAAGCTTATTAAAGATTCTAATAATAACTTATCTTTAGTTATAAGCTATAACGTATTCTATTATCAAGCTAGCTACTTTATTAAGCTAGCTACTTTTTCTTAGCATTACTCTTTTCTTTATAACTCTATAAGTTTTGGACTATTTTAGGATTTTATTTTATATTTAGAAAGCACTAGATTTAGACTTTCTAACGCTCTGAGAATTACCTAATTAGGCTTAATATTGCTAGAGTTAGAGCTAAATAAAGTAAGAAGCCTTGCTTAGCTTTAAACCCTAGTAATATAAGCTATATCTTCACGTATTTCTTTCTAACTTTGACATATTATAGTTTATAAGCAAAAAGATAGTCTATAAAAGTTCTAGACTTATAGCTAATTTCTAAAAGAAGTTATAGAAGAAAGTAGTTACTTAGTACTAAGTATAAGAAATCTAGTATATTAGATGCTATAATAGTATATCTTAACTTCTAAAACTTATTTTATATACTATTAGTATATAAAAACTATACTCTATCTTTTTAGACTATTTTATTATATAGAAAACTAAGATACTAAGAAAAATTCTATTTCTTAGTATTTTACTCTATTTTAAAAAAAATTAATAACTTCTTCTATACTTAACTTTATAGCTTAAGAGGTTAGTATATATAATATCTATATATATAGTTTCTATTCTAAAAGTTAGAGCTAAATAGAGTCTGCTTTAGCTTAGTTATTAAATAAAATATTCTTTTTTATGCTCTAAGAGCTATCTAGCTTTATATCTCTAGAACTAGCATATAGAAAACTTTTAAACTCTAGAATCTAGTTCTTTATAGTATATAAATTTTATATTATAAGTTATAGATTAATGCGTAGCTATATACTATAGGTTACTAAGGGTTTAAAGTTAAGCGAGCTCTTCTACTTTACTAAGCTCTAACTCTAGCAATACTAGGCTTAATTAGGTAATTCTTAGAGCGTTAGAAAGCCCTAAATTAGGGCTTTCTAAATATAAAATAATATCCTAAATTAGTTCAAAAATTATAGAGTTATAAAGGAAAGAGTAATGCTAAGAAAAAGTAGCTAGCTTAATAAAGTAGCCGGCTTAATAATAGAATACGTTAACTAGATATTATATTGCTATTAAAAAAAGAGACTAAAGTAAATTTATTAAATTATTATATCTATAAAATTGCTAGCAAATCGTAGCAATACTACTAGAATACTAAGAACTTATTTTCCTAACGCTATAACGTAAACTATTATCGCATGGGTTATATCATCGCGTGGGTCAGTTTTGCTAAGAATTTCTCTTTTCTCTATAACTTTACGAGTTTTAAACTTTTCTAAGATATTATTTTATATTTAGAAAGCTCTTAAATAGGGCTTTCTAATGCTTTAAAAATTACCTAATTAGGCCTAGTATTGCTAAAGTTAGAGCTTAGTAAAATCTAAGAGCTCGCTTAGCTTTAAACCCTAGTAACTTAAGCTATACTATAGCCTATCTCTCTATAACTTATATATAATATAGATTATATATATAGAAATAGCCTTCTAAAGTTATAGACTTATAGCTAATTTATTAAAGACGTTATATAAGATAGTAGTTACTTAGTACTAAGTTTAAGAAATCTAGTATAGTAGATACTATAAATAGTATATATTAACTTCTAAAACATATTTTATATACTTATAGTATATAAAAACTCTAGTCTAGCTTTTTAGACTACTTTATTATATAGAATATTAAGATACTTAGAAAAGTTTCTTTTCTTAGTATTTTACTCTATTTTTAAAAAAATTAATAACTTCTGCTATATATAACTTTAGAACTTAAAATTTTAGCATATATTATTTCTATATATATAGTCTCTATTTTAAAAGTTCTAGCTTATACTAAGCTACTTTAGCTTAGTAATTATATAAAATATCTTTTCTAAGCTCTAGAAGATATCTAGCTTTATATCTCTAGAACTAGCGTATAGAAAGCTCTATAACTTTAGCATATATAAGAATATATATAAAATAATCTAAAAAAAAAGTCTTAGACTAATACGTAGCTATATACTATATAAGTCTAGGGTTTAAAGCTAAGCGAGCTCTTAGATTTTACTAAGCTCTAACTTTAGCCAATACTAGGCCTAATTAGGTAATTTTTAAAGCATTAGAAAGCCCTATTTAAGAGCTTTCTAAATATAAAATAATATCTTAGAAAAGTTTAAAACTCGTAAAGTTATAGAGAAAAGAGAAATTCTTAGCAAAACTGACCCCACGGCGATGGAATATGACCCACGCGATGATAGTTTACGTTATCTATAGATAAGTTATCTATATCTATCTACTAGGCCTTCTTATACTAGCTAATATCTAGTTATTAATCTAAAGGCCTTATAGATGATAAGATAATACTACTCTTATACTATTAATTAATCTATAATTATGTTCTAAAAGATAGTTAGAAAATTAATTTGCGCTGCTAGTAATAGTCTCTTATAAGGCTCTATTAAATAGGATTGAATATAGAATATAATAGGCTACGCTTAGAGAGCTATTATATAGGTATACTAGAGTTGTATTCGATAGAGAAGAGAGGTATAAGACTAGAGTCTATAAGATATAGCCTAAGCGCTGCTTAAGCGCCGCGATCAGTAGGCCTAATTGCGTGACTGAGAAATCATTGAGGAACTCATCAATTAGGCTTCAGCCTATCACACGATGTTAAGATTAATCGACTTAATTATTGACAAGGTTGGTTGTTGGTGTTGCCCCTGCCTTGGTCGGCTAGCTTGCACCATCAGCAGCATACTTTGTGTTGACACGACCAGTGAATTTCCACTCCACTCCCTTGATCACGTTGTTCTTGTCGCCGTTGGGGTTGCCGTGAATGCTTGAGAAGGCGTCGACCATGATGTCGATAGAGCCTTTTTCCTGTTCTCGTCTAGCAAGAGTCTTCAAACATGTGGTGTGGCGAGATGAGCGACCACTTACATGGATCCACTTATCATCAAAGGCATCCCCAATGTACATGAACATCTGTTTGCCTGTCTTGGGGTCCTTGACGAGAGCCTCGAGACCACAGTACTTCTTTGTCGCTGCCTTCCAACCAGCTGGGTCACTGTAGTAGGTCTCACCACCCATGGCTTTCAGAGACTAATGGCACCATGGTAAGCGCTTGGGGTCTCATAGGTCTCAAGAGCTGGCACACACCACGGCGAAGATACGGTCGCTGTTGTAATACGCGTAGCCACACCAACTATGGCCGTTAGTTGAGTCTGGTTCGGCGTTGGCGCGAAACCATGATCCAATTCCGGTCTGAGGACCGTTAAAGAATCCTTTGGGGATGTTGACATTGTGAATGTCTGCGAGTGCAGAGGCTGCGAGATTAGCGAGGGCGATGGGATAAGTGAGCGACGGCATTTTGAGAAGTGCTCAGAAGGATGTTTGAAGCTTAGTTCTGCAGATGGGCTTAAAAATAGTGACCAAGGGGGCTTTTATATGAAAGGCGCTTCTTCGTGGTGGTGCTGAGCGCGCTGGATGCAGTTCGTGTTTACCGTTTACCGATCCCAGTCATGGTGTAACTGTCATGCATGTTTTTATTTATTGCCAAGTTCTGCACGAAGATTTGATGACTTTGAGTGACTCCTTGAAAATTCGGCAGTTGGAGCTTGATATGTGCTTGATGTAATTAGGTCTGATAAGCGCCGTGCCGGTGGACGTGACTAACGACAACCCCATCCACCTCTGCTGACAGCATACTACCGCCGCCATCTTTCTCAGCCTGGTGACTTGTCCCGTACTGTTTACAGCTACACTGGACGTCGCGTATACCACATCGCCCAGATAACTCCTCTCTGAACCCAGCATGATTCGAGAACGGAATTTGCAGTGCCAATCCTTCCAAGGCTGATGATGGAATTTCACACAACCCGGCGTCGCTCCAGCATAATGCTTGCGGTGGGGACAGTGCAGCTAAGAGTGTGGCCAGCCTGTAGGCTATCCCGCAAATATTAATAGATAGAGTAGATGCTATAGTAATATACTATAAGTAGCTTTATCTAGAATTATAATTAGATAGTTAATATTCTACTAGATAATAAAGCTAAAGTTAATATATATATATATAGTAGAATCTATAATAAGATACTATAAGTATATAGTTTAGTTACTACTTAATAATATAGCTAAATTTAATAATATTAGGCTAGTAAATAGATATAGATAGCTTCTCTATAGATATAGATTAAGTTAAAGTTAAAGTTAAGTTACGTTAGACTATATAATAACTTATCTTAACAGAACCTTTATCTATTTGCTAGCCTAGTTAAGCTATTTAAGGCAAGACGAGGCAGAGCTAACGTATATAAAATTGCATATATTAAATCATCTCGATACAGAGCAAAATCTACTGCAGACAACGCGCATGTCGTTGTACGTTCCTGATTGTTATTAGACAGTCTATTCTAGAGAATAAGAAAATAGCTTATGCAGAACACCCATATTACAACTGCGAGAATTGTTAATCGTTCCGCCTGAGAGCCTTCGCTCCTTTCTTCCTTATACCCTGCCATTTTATCAAACATCTTTGCCAGACCGATGCTCGAAAAGCCGTCTTCAGGCTCCGTCATGTTGGACTCACCCATCGCCCTGCTCGTGTGTTAGCAACACCATTCCTTAACTGGCGCCTTATAACCCACGATCCACCGATTCGCTCCCATACAGCCTTAGGTATTCTGAAATCGTCATCATCTTTTTCGTATGATCTTATCCACTTCAAATTTGTCAAATCCCACACCCATACTTGATCTTTCCTATCGCATGAGCTTGAAGACGCTTCTGTGCCACCAAGCATAAGCATCTGCTTCTTGCCAACGAGTTGGCAAGTCGCACCATAACTCGGCCGAGTACCCGTGAATACCTGTGTCCATTGGAACTGCGGAAGTGACAATATCCATACGTCGTGAAGGATCTGAGCCGGGGAGCGACCACAAGCCAGATATCTACTCTGAGCTAAGCATTACGTCTAGTACTGGGACATTTGGGGGACTTACATGTGGTAACTTGTTCTGTCCGGAGATAAGATGTTCACTGCACACGTTGAGAGCCGCGAAACAGGTGTTCTTCCTCCGGTAGGCTGTTGGTACCACACACCATTGGGCGTGTCGTCTAATGAGGCGATGTCAAAGACATGTATTGTGCCCAGAGATTCCTATACATGCAAGTAAGCAGAATCATTAATTACGAAAGATTTATGTACCATTGTGCCCCATGGATCCGTGGTAATAATCTCGTCATGTCTCGTTGCACCTCCAAGCAGCACCAGTCCTCCTTTCTGACCCAACAGTGGTAGGTACTGGAACGCTGCCCCAACTCGAACCCCAGAAGGGGATATAATTTCCGTGCTTACGGTTCGTGAACTATTTGTTCGCGTATTGATAATTGTCATCTTTGGGTACACCCGCTCGTTTGAACCATTGCTCAGTATCCCGTTCAGGTAGAAGATTAAGTTCTGGTCGGGTGCTTGTGTGTAGAGGATCTGGGTCCTGAATAGACTCGACTCTGTAATAGTTCTCATCAATGGTTTCCAAAATCTGTCTGTCTTCGAAAGACTCCATGAAGCATTCTCAGCTGGGGATCCGATAGGCATAGGATGTGTTGTTGAAACATTGGATGTGGTGTTGAATATCGCTCGTGCGCCTCCCTCGATGTAAATTCCACCGTTGGAGTCATAAGTTATGGTACTATACATGAGGAATGGTGGAGGTCCATCTGATACGCTGTGGGAACCAAGAGCCGTAATTACTGAGTCATCGAGTATGTAGTCCCAGGATTTGGACAAACTTATCTTCGCCAAAGCGCTATCTATGAAAATTCTCGTTACTATAGTGTTGTTTTTGGCTGTCATTCACTACTTACCGTACCATTGCTCAGCTCTAGAGTACGGCAAATCTCTTACACCGCCGAAGACGTAGATAGCATCATCTATGACAGTGGCTAGCAAAATAGTTAATTGGTGCTAGTGCGGCATCACTCTGATCTATTCACATGAATGTCCTGTCCGCGTGCAAAAGTACTCCCACGGTACGGATACATTCTGAGATAGCACCGTTGTCAACGCGACACCCCAAAAGTAGATAGTGTAAAAGAACATAAACTTCATATCTTCAGCAGTGGGCGCAAGCTCATCGAAACATAGAATAATGCCATACAAGATCGAGTATATAGCCAGCCTCGGGAATGTGAAGTGCAATCTCTCACATAAGTGGGTGCAGCTGTTATCTAGCTTAGCCGTCGATTTCGTTGGCCGCGACCAAACTGTCGGTGTATTGAATATGTTCCATGAATATGACCAGAGTCGTCAATAAGCCGGCCGAACACCACGTGCACGCTTGATCAGGAATCAAGCCGTCGATTGGCCGGCTTGTTGATAACTCTGCATAAAACGATAAAATTACGCAGAAAAAATGGTCTGATTCAGACATTACATCGGCATGGGGGCCCGACTTCGCCGGTGTTGCGCCCTTGTGTGATGTAGTCGGGCTAATATTCTAATCAAACGTCGTTGACGATCATCAACGATGGCTCACTCGCTTAGTATTCACGTTACCGTAAAGGACACCGACATGCATTTGAGGAGGAGATAGACGTGATTATGAGGGGTGCGTTTCTGCTCGCTTAAAATTATCACTCTGTAGAATTCGACTGGCCACCAGTGCATGCGCGCACATGCGCGCACAACATCACAAAGGCCGGTTAAAATAGGAATAGATAATGCACAAGCATCGCTTCACCGGTCTCCTCGTTCTGGGGCTGATGTTGTCATAACTCCGAAGTCGAACTACGTGACCCTTTGTGGCTACACGTCTCAAAGCCGACTTCCCAGCCAGGCTGTCTTAAGAAAGCTGGGCGAAAAAAGAAAACACAGGCGAGAACTCTCACTTAAGGTTGACAGTGGCCAACTATTCATCATCTTCCGTGTTCACTTTCGCAGGACCCAGATCAACATGAGAACTCAAGTGCTGTATCGGAATCATATAGTAAAGATCAAGGACCATTGCTCACATGGCTGGAAAACCATCCAAAAATGCTGGAGCACCATGAAAGAGTTGTGGAAAAAAGTGAAGAATTTCATAGGTCTAGGCAAACAGACTCGTCCGCGGTCTAGTACAGTTCTACTCTCGTTGCTCGGCCTTTTGGTATTTCTGGTCATAGCTATTATTGCTATCGTATTACCAACGACCCCTGTAAAGTATTTTGTTATCGCTTCAAATACAGCAATCGTCGTAGTGTTATGCGGAACCTTTGCGCTCGACATAGCAACAAGTAAGTCCCGAGCAATTACATGGAAAGCACGAAAGAAATACTAAATCAGTTCAGACAAGAACACAGACGAGAATGATAAAACCAAGAGGAGCATTGTAAATACAGTTGTTACTATCTCACTAACGATAGTTGTTCTTACGGCGTTATACGGTTGTTTATGGCACAAAGGCCTCAACGCTGTAGTAGTCAGACAACAGATCGATCGTGTGGTGAGTGAAAATTGCATCCCCACGATCACTACTAACGGTGTAGGGTACGTCAAGGTTTCCAGCAATAGCCTTCTTTCAGCGGCAAGATCCTGGGCATGCAAATATTCATGATGGCGAGTTCAAGTGTTCATCTGGTCCGAGAAACGATCATGCGATTCAGTGCAGCAGCTTGACTATTGCAGAGGCAATGAATACAAAGTCTTGCGATTGTGGAGACAGCTGGTCAAGCTTAGAATCCCGGATCATGGAGGAGAACAAGATGGTTTGGCTAGGGAAAAACACGTCATATTTTGCAATGGTGCCCGGTCCGACCACAATATCCAGGGGGGTTGGACATATCATGGAGATTCAGCTGTGGTTCAGCTGTGAGTAGTGCCATCTTAAATCCAGCGCAAACCTCTAGTCTAATACACCTTCAGATAATACTACTGAGGCGTATGAAGCAGGTTCCCTTACACCTGCACCGGGTATCTGGATGGTGATTTATGACCCAGAATTCGATATCAAGCAAATGGTTGCAGATGGTCAGGTGTACACTTCTCTATTCGATGCCAATAGTCATACAGCTGTGAGTATCGGGCTGGTACAGTACATTTACATCAACAAGACTTCAAATTACAGATACGGTACGTGGCCAACGTTCATTCACGAAATATCTGCTGAGCAAGTTCCCTAGATGTTACAGCTTCAGCGCGTCAAAACATAGATCTCGTATGCGACATTTCCAAGCCACGGTGGTACTTGTGCTATCATACCGTGGAAATACAGATCCCTAGTCTTCTCCAAACAGTCTATCAGGAGGAACGACGATTGGACTGGACGGTAAGCAGTTTGGTTGAGTCTTCATCTCACTATGGATCGGTATATCATCGCTGACATTTTCGCCATACAGCGTGTAGTAGCGGAAGCTGGTGCTTTCTTTGCGCTTGTTCAATTCTTCAGCTGGATAGTTTCGGGAATGGCCTGGGACTAAGAAGGACGACTATTACTATAGATTATATGCTCCTATAGAACAAATAACGTAATCCACTACTAAGTGACCTACCCTACTAAGTGACCTAAAACTTGCTAAGCTACGTACATCCTTCTTTTCTCTAATATACCTTAACTACCTAATGCGTTATTGCTCTAAAATAAAGGCAGAATTTAGCTTACTATTAACGCTATATAATCTAAATAATTCTAAAGCTACTAGGCTACTACTACTATATTTAATATTAATTACTATACTCTTAATTACTATATTAAAGAACTTATCTCTTACGCAGAAACTATCTCTAACTACTAGAAACTTACTATAACTAAAGAGTAGATAATTATCTAATATATACTTAATCTTAATTTATAAAGATTTGCGCTCTAGCTATATAAAGTAGTAGATATAGCTAATAAGCTACTAAGTATAAGAGATAGTAAGTCTATTAGTAAGCATTAAGCTAAGCGCTTTATAATATATTTATCTAAGCTTAAGATAGCTTTTAATTAAGCAAAGAATAAGCAAAGAATACTCTAGAAAGACTTAGAGATTATTAGCGCATAGTTTAAGCTTATAGATAAGACTATAGCTAAGTATAGTATCTACTAGAATAATATATATAACTTTAATAAGACTAGCTTCTAGATAAGCATAATTAGCTCTATAAAGATTATTATAAGCATAGAAAGATATACTTAACCTTAAGCTTATTTAACTAAGTAATTATAAGTAAGTTATAGTAATCTAGAATATCTATACTGCTAGGTATATAACTCTACTCTTTATTATCTATAAGAGATATATCTATATCTTAGTATAGTATAAAGAGGCTTTAATACTACATAATTAGAAGCTATTAGTCTCTAAGAATAGCTAGATAAATAACGCGCTTAGTCTAGAGTAGTTAAAGTATTTTAATACGTATATAAAGGCGCATTAGATAGAGGCATACTAGCTACTTATTCTAGATAGCTATAAGAGCTATCTTAACTAGAATTTTAAAAACTACTACGTTAAGAATAAGATCCTAACTCTCTATATACTAGCTTATTTATTATATATTTTTATAGCTACTTAATATAGTCTATTTTTTACTATTAAAGCGTAAGTACTCTTAATATATCTAGAACTTAGTATAGAAATATATCTTCTATATTAATAAGAAGAGCTTCTTTTCTACCTTTAAAGATATATTTTTTAATATATTTATAGAAGAGAACTATTAAAAAGCCTTTAAAGCTTTAGAACTTATTCTTATTAATGCATAAGTAGTATTAGATTACCTAGAAGTACGCCTACGTACTTTACTAAAACCTCTTCTTTTAGCAACTCTATAGCAGTTAAAGACTCTAAGTAATACTTATAAGTTTAGATTCTAGTTAAAGCTTATATATAATTTCTTACTTAGGTTATCTATTTTAGCTTAAGCTAGCTTCTCTTAGCTTATAAAAAGTAGTAAGCTAATACTATATAAAAATACTCTTTAATATACTTAGATTTATAAGCTTAAAGAGTAATTAGTAGAGATAACTAAGCAGAAATTGCGTAAGTGTAAGCAGATCTAGCAGAGTAGTATTATAAAGTATAATAAAGCAGTAACGTAAGTAGCTGCAGAAGCGTCTATAGCTACTAGGTAGTTAAAGAAGAGTTATAGTAGAGATAGTTAAGAAAGAGCTTAACTAGCTATATAGCGCTATAAGAACTATAGTAAGACTAGGTATAATATATAGATATATAAAAAGAATATAAAGATATCTTCTAAATTAGATATAGATATAATAGATATAGGCTTCTTTATAGATAGTAATAAAATTAAAGATGCATAACTAAAGTTTCTTATGCTAAGAAATTTTAGGTTACTTAGTAGAGTAGGTTACTTAGTAGTAGATTATATTATGCCTATTATTAATATATTATCTTATACTACTTTAAAAGATTTTAGATTATTAGTTATAGTTATTATACTTATAGTATTAAAGATATTCTAGCTATTATATCTAATATAGTAAGATATAATAGTTAGAGTTTTAGCTACTATATATATCTTATTTTTATATTTTTATATATTTACTCTAGTTAATTAATCTTAATAACTAATATATAGCAATAATAGTGCCTATCTAATAGCTATAATTTAATATATAAGTTACTATTTAAGTATTAAAGTATGCCTAAGAGAAAGCTATCTATTTAAGATATAATATAACTAGTAACTAAGTTATATAGGTAACTAAACTGCGTATCTTTTTATGCTATATATCTTTATACTATTATAACTTAATATTATACTAAGTAATAAAGATATATAATAGCTTAAATTAATTACCTAATTTACCTATATCTTTTTTATAAGTATGCTTATTATTAGAGTAGCAAATAAGTATAGATTAGATTATAGTTAAGCATTATATAATATAAACTCTAGATAACT